TAGAAGATAATTATAAGATAGTAGATTAAACATCAAAGCGATTATTCCATACCTTAAAAAACAATCAAAAATTTGTGGATATATCCAATGTAATGAATAGAAAAAAGGGAAGAAAATTTACTAAAGGGTTTTTAAAAATTTAAAGCAAAAAATATGTCTATATATAATAATAAAATTATATTTACTTAATTAGATAAAAAACAAAATCTAGGAAGAGCAAATGATTGATGTGCCAGATGATGAAGACTAATTATTCAATAGACAAACGCATTTTAATTATGTATTCGCATATTACTTATTTGTTTGATTAATTTATTCATCTACGCTTACAGGTATGAATTACAACGTAGGTAATCAATTCACTTGTCGGTATAGGTAAATATGTAGATAATATATACAACATGTGCATCTAATATTCAATATTACAAATAAGTTAAAATAGTTACAATTTTTAATTACTTTAATTAATTACCAGTCTGGACCATTCCACCTAATACCTTAAAAACCACTCGTAATAAACCATTAAATCTAAAAATAAGTACAAGTTATATTGAAGTCGTCTGTCTTTGTATAACACTTGTGAATTTCGACTTTTAAATCTATAATGTCAATGCAAATTAGTTAATATTAACTGAACCAGTTAGTGAATTGAAAATCAGTGGAATTAGTAAAAAATAAATAAAAGTAAATTCAGAAGAAAAGGACCTATCATTTATACCAACGAACCAACCAATGATTAGCTCAAGCATTGGAACTTCAACGATAAGAAGTAATGTTTTATATTTTAACTGTAATGATATCAATGCAGTTTATAATTAAAAGCATACTTAACGAATTTAAACAAGTTTTACTAATATATAAAACAATCAGTTAATACTTGACTAACTGTTATTTCACAGTGAAATATTTTGTTCGCTGCTTTTTCAATTATTTGTCACTAATTTATTCAGAATGACAACTGATTCATAAGTTTTTTATTTCAGTGGAATGATATAACAATTTTTACCGCTTCACTTTTAGAGAGTATGTTTAATGTATTTAATTTAAACACTTGTTTATTTCAATTACCTATTCGACTTATACATTTTAACTTCATAAACAAAATGGTTGAAGAAATCAATCAATTTGTGTATTTTGCAATTTTAATATTTATGACAATGTCCTTAATGTTTTGGAAAAGTGGGACAATTTAGGAAAAGGCAAATATACTACCTTTTTGTACAGTTTTGGTTGCAATTTCTTGATATAAAAATCAAGGCTTTTGTTATTATTTACTACATACCATTTGGCACAACTTAATCGGCAGGTATATTTATTATTAAGTGTTTAGTGCCTGCTATTTTTATTAAATTTTAAAAAAGGGGTTTTACCAAATGCCTACCTGAAGGTAGTATAAAATCCATTGGAAAAAAGTTCTCAACTACCTTTTGAAATCTTCAAATTATCAATGTGTATTTTAAAACAGAAATGGGTTAACGTCATTAATGCAAAATACATACAATGTAGTAGTCCTTTCTAATAAGTATCTAATTTGAATAAAATAGTAAAAATTGTAACCTTACTTACGAGATCATTAATTTTAATTTCGTTAACGTTTAAAAAAAAATCAGCTTTTCAATGTCCCTGCTCTCTACGTAAATAGAAGACTGTTCGTTGTTAATTGACAATAAGTCATATATAGTCTCAAGGACTAAAACTAAAAGTTTCCGGTACTTTGTGATTGATTAAGAATTTAATGTTACCGTTATCAGTATGCATACACTTCTTTAAAAATTAAAACCGATTAGTTAGTTTAATTAGTTAATACCGTCTATTATTTATCACTTAATGACGTTCTGTAACACCAAGTAAGAGGTAATTTTGTAGATTTGCTTGTTTGATTGCTTGCTGGAGAATGCACACAGGGGCGAATTAGTGATAAATACGTAAAAGAAACCTATAAACGTTTTGTACATAAAAAGCTTAAGCTTACTGACTAACTGATGATCATCGAACCATAGCCGAAACGATTAGGTCATTTTAATCTCAATTAAAGTTGAATGACGTTTGACTCGAAACATATCGAAAATCAAAGAAAGCGTATGAGGTATGACATATTCAGAAAACTTAATCGCCAAGCCACCCTTGAGAATGGCTGCCACAGTTGCAAGCGAAACGTCGAGGAGTTGTCATAGTCAACGGCCAGAAAACCTGAGTTTAGCAATGCACACATTATTTGATGTTCCAGTCAATGGTCATTCGTACCGAGAAAACTACGTATTAAAATTCTAAACCTTACACACTTCTAAGATAATAAAAAATTAGTTTTTTACATAACTTCGTTCAAATAAATATTAATTAAGAATTTTTTTTATATTTTAAACTATTATTGTTTAATTCCTACCTTTTCCAAATTTGAATGCGAAATCTGTGGTCTTGAAATCAGTTAAAGCTGTTCTTCCNATTATTGTTTAATTTCTACTTTTTCCAAATTTGAATGCGAAATCTGTCGTCTGGAAATCAGTTAAAGCTGTTCTTCCTTTTGTCATTAGGTCACAATTATTCAAAGTAGAGGTTACCCTGTCGAAGTTCATAAGGTGATAACGGAGGACGGATATATTTTAACAATGCATCGCATCCCTAACACTCGCCACCCCAGGCGAAAACGGTACCCAATATTTTTACAGCATGGTCTCATAGCCACATCTGCAAATTTCGCAACTCAATCAAGAAATGTTTCAATGGGTAAGTGACAATTACTTATCCCACTACTGGCAGTTCTGAGAGCAAATTGCATTCTTAAATACTTTATTTAACTTGGTCTTTTATTTGTTTTTGTCAATTATTCTTGTTAGTGAAATCGGTTAAAATTTGCATGAAGAAAACACTGGTGAATATTGTTCACCTATCAAGAATATGTTTTCAAAGTTTTGTTAAATTCTTTCTGTCATAACCATCTTAAAATTGTGTTTTTCTGTGAAATTTTCGTAGGAGTATCTATTAATTAAATTAAGGAATACTTTCTGAAGTACTCTACTTATATATCCAAGTCTTGCATCTATTATTTTAAAAATAAACATAAGCTTCCTTACTAAGTTTTGTAGAAAAAATTACAATCGGTTATGCGATTCTAAAAAGAATGCGAGTCTCTTTTGACACTCAATATTATTTCAATCCTTTTGAAAATGTTTTACAATGGATACAATTACCATTAAACTAAAAAAGTCATTTACATTTTCTTTGACAAGTTGTGTATAACGTTTACCTCATTAAATAAATGGCAAGCTTTTTGGATAATTTGGTACACACTATATCAACTAATTAACACATTAATATAATTTTGCCTTGTCCAATGGTGACAATCTAAAACTGTCGTAATACAAGGAAGTGTTTCATGTACAATTGGTTTTGAAAGCAGCTAAATCACTATATTAGTTAACTGTATGTTGTCCATAAAATTTCTGCAGAATGCCAGACGATTTTTCCAAGTTCGTTTTATATAATTAGAGAATGCGAATTTGAGATATGAAATTAAGCGTTACTAGCAATGCACTTTGTACAAGGTCGATGTACTGGAAATTGCTTTTCTCCATGAACTAACATTGGACTTAGTAAGAAAACAGGTTTTACCAATTATCCATATACTACATACTACAAATAGAACACGCTGGTTTAATTATCGTCATAATAATGAATAATTAAGTCAAGCGCCTTTAACTTGAATGCAATTATGGAATTATGAGACAGGAATAACGGAATTAAATCCAATCTCCATCTCAGTGAAGTTAACTCAACCAACGAAAATATATCCCACTTGGACATCTTCAAGTTATTAAAACTTCCTAACATCGATTTGCTTATATTAAGTTTTAACATGCCTACCAAGTTAAACTTTAACTTATAGAAAGAAGGAAAGTTTGAAGGAATATCAAATAAATTAGTGTTGGCGATAAGTTTTGCAGGATTTTTCCTTCGAGTGGTATTGAATTATTACTTTCCTTATTTATTTAGAAACAACTTCTCTTCGAGACATTTTTAATTGCTAACAACAAAAAATATTCAAATTTGTTTTATTGTAAAATAATATACTTAATAATGGAACAGTGATCTAAAATCAATATTATTCAATTGAACTAGACTATTACACTGTTTTAGCTTTTATCCTTTCGGACGCTGGTTATGACATTTGGATGGGGAATTACAGAGGAACCACTTATTCACAGGAACATGTTCGCCTGACAGTACGTGATAATGAATATTGGAATCACAGGTAAAGGGATTAAAACGGCAATTTAATATACTTAATTTACTGTATAAATTTGTAGGGTAGATAATTGTTTTTCTATCTGATACTGTCCTGGACCGTCGTCGGTTGGAATCGCCTCCTAACGTTTCGCCGACCGAATTAGGACAGTATCAGTTCACCTACTGCTCGCGAAAACTTTTATAAATCAGTTTTCTTATAATTAATAACTGTTATTGCCACTTAATATTATGGAAATAACAAAGTAGCAAGCTGAAAGTAAAATCGAATACCTTATGACTTTAACAGGTCAATGTTGTCAAGCTTAAAAAAAATCCTTAAGGGAATTTAGAGCCAGCTTGGAGAAAAAGGGATTTTTATTTAATTTATAATNTTATGTGCCTGGTGAAATATTGTTGTTTAAAGGTTACTTGAATTTGATTTTTTTAAACACATGAATAACTAAAAACAAAAAGTTTTCCTTATTTTCGTCGAATGAATTTTTTTCTTGTTTAAATATACCTTTTTCGCAATAGGAATTTAAGGGGAAATATAAGTAAATTTCGTTTCAAAAATTGTTTGTTATATCCATCAGATTTTGCAAGTAAATTTTCTACTGACGAATGCAGTGCTTATGTACTTATTTTCTAAGAAAATTTAATGCGTCTATTTAACCATATGTGAACACAAGTTTATAAAAACGTTAATAAATAATCAGGATTATATAATGACGGTGATTAGTTTTTAATATTCGTAAAGAACAAAGTTCGTCAAGAAAACACTCCTAATTATGTTTTCAAACAGTAAACATCGACATGAAGTCAAAACAGAACACGGATTTAACGTATTTTAATTAAGTTAATTTCAGTTTAGATCATTTAGGATTAATGGACATACCTGCGATGCTAAATAAAATAGCGGAAGTTACTGGAAAAAAGGGAGAAACAATAGTAATAGGTCATTCATTGGGGACAACCATATCCATGATATACGCTTCAGCTAGGCCAGAAGAAGCAAGGCGCAACATAAAGTTTATGGTACTTCTAGCACCTGCTGCAACTTTAACAAATATGATTTCTCCGTTCCGAATTTTGGCCCCGTTGTCAGAAGCAATATTGGTGAGAGTAGTTAATGTATACTTTTAAAGAATACAGTTTAAGAAAGTACTGTACGCTCAAAAATAACTTCTATAAGTATAATAATTAACGCATAACACAGGGGCCCTCCTCGAATGTTTTTATGGCCTGCGAGATTCACCGTAGTGTTACAAAATATATTTCTTCTAATGGTCGCTGATTTTTGATATCTAGGAAGCCAGATAATTCAGGATGGAAGGAGTAGTAGAGATAAAAAACGGATAAGGGTGCAGGGAACGGTTAATTTAGAAATTACAATAGGATTGTTAAAGGTCTATATCTGGATCAGGACGCTGTATGGGTTGAAATATGATATTACAGGTGAATGATGAGGATACCGTGGATAGAGAGATAGAGGGTAGTTAATAAAAAATAAGTAACATAGGTTGTTAATAGAACACCTTCTCAGACATGAGGGGCTAGCAAGAGACATTTTAGAAGCAGAAATAGGAGTTAAGGGGATATAGGTAGGCCTACATTAGATTACTGTTCACAAATAGTTAAGGATGTGGGATGTTCTGGTTTTAAGGATATACGAAAATTAGCTCAGAAAAGAAAGAGTGGAGATACATGTCCAACCAGTCTTAGGAGAACTCACCTATGTTCATGACGGTGATTATAATAATGGCCAAAGTAATGAAAACCAATACATATAAACATATATTCAAAAATTAACTGTTGAAACTATTACTATTTAGAAGTGTACTGTCAATTAACTTTTGAATAATTATATGTTTTTGTCCGTGACATGGAGAGAAATAGAAAAGAATTGCCTATATTGGAATCACTTTTGAGTAGAATCTTATAAAGAACATGTAACTAAGTCCTTATTCATTTCCCACAAACTTAATATTTTCAAAATAGGGAAACAAATGAGTGTAGTTCAGATAAATAAATTAAAACACATACGGCTGAGTGTAGCAACGCGATTACTAACCATAAATAGTTCGGACGTGTATTTTATTTTTCTAGAAGTAGCTAAATACCCACCTAAATATTTTTTTGGAAACTTATAATTCTACTAAATATGTTTACGATTATCTACAATTCTATTTTAGGACGTCGTTGTATCCAATGACTTGATACGAGTAGTATCATCCCCAAATATAAGCAATCTTTACTCGAGGACACTGTGTTTAGATTCTCCAATTGTCCTGAAGAGATGCGAACAGATTTTCAATATATTCTATGGTCCCTATAGTCAAATGGGCGCAGTATGAATACAACATATATTGGTGAAGATGTCAGCTGATTTAAAAGAGATATATTTACAGGAACTATTACCCGTTTTCTTCTGGCATTTACCAGCAGGAACTAGTGTAAAAGTAATAAGACATGCGGCTGATTTGGTATTGGGAAAATTTCATATGTACGACAACGGTGCCAAGATCAATGAAAGGATATATGGGTCCAAATCGCCACCTGTTTACAATACCAAAAATATAAGAGTTCCTACCCTAATTATGTATGCCGTTAATGATTGGGCATGTGGTAAAAAAGTAAGAAGAAATATTTTTATATTAATTATTGTCAATCATATCCCTGTATAAATGCAAAAGTTTGGAGGTTTAAAACAGTTGAAAGAAAAATGAACTTTGTGTGGATTCCCCCAGGGAAATTCCGAACGACTGGTATAGGTACATGAAGACCCACCTATGTGTATTTTTTTATTAAGTATTTCTTTATCGTGATGCGAGCGTGGATATAATCCAACACCTAGTTACAAATAAATTTAAATTAAACCAAAAGACATAAGTAATAATTTTCCACATAAATGATATAAAATTGATTTTAATTGCTTTGGAATCATATAAAAATCAATTTAATACGTTTACTACGTTTACGGTAAACAAAATTTCAAAAAGATATTTATCCAGGTCGATAACGCCTTAATTTAGCGTTGGGGAATCATTCGTATCTACTGTTGACTTAACATTATTACATTATTATCATTTTAATTAAATTTATAATTGTATTATTGGATTATAAGGAAAATATTAAGAATGTAATTTAACAAATTTTCTTTTTGAAATATCTATAGAGTGACTATCAAACCTTACAAATAGTTTATATAAATAGTACATCATGTCAAAGTTATTCCTTATTTCAGGATGCACTTGTATTAGCGAGCCACATGTCTCCCGAAGTCTTACCATTTGGAATCGCTGAAATTGATATTAAAGATTTTAATCATATGGATTTCCTATACGGATCGGGTGTGAAAAAAATTGTAACTGATAGACTGATGAGACTGTTTGATACACTACACAAGTTACCGATAAAACGTACCCAAAATGTACCTATCCTGTAAATACAAATTATCTAATAATTGTTATAATGATTGTTAAAAATAAAAAATATTTAATTAAGCCTATCTATGTCTCCTTTGTAGTGAAATAATTTTGGAATTTCTCGTTATAGTAACACAAAATAACGTTTCTAACAGAGAAGATATCTTTATAATATCGTTAAATGAACCAATTCTTTCATGATATTCCGTAACACGACGCAGTCTGCAGTTTTTACTAAAAAGAAAACTAATATTATTAATTCCCTAGGTTTTTCTGTCGCTTCGTCCGTGTGAAACTGTTTATTATTATTTATAATAAATACCCTATTAGTTTTGATTCCTTTGCGAGTGTCAAAATAAGTTTGATTGTTCCACAATTCCATGGGATTGCATCAGACCTGATAAATTAATATTAATTTTGACTTGATACCTCCACCCAAAAAAGGGCCTTGACAAACTGACAGACAACGAACTGATCCTATAAGAGATCTTTTTTTCCTTTTGAGGTACGGAACCCTAAAAAGTAGTCTCTCTCATGCAGACAAACAAAAGCTCTTACAGATTCAAAAGGTAGGGAAACAAAACACTTTACATTTATAAATCCTGAAAAAAAAATGGTTTTTGAACAAATAGAACTTAAATTTGATAGATTTCCGTAAAAGAAACTGTCAGATTATCTACATGCAAAATCAAATTGTAAATCTAAAATCGTGCAAGTACTATTGAAGTTAAAGGTAATATATGTGTCTGTATCTACACGTTCTTTGGGAAATTTCTTTATTAGCCTTATTTCTCAGAAAGTTGTGGACGTTTCGAGAAACTTTTCAATATTAAAAATGTAATTAGCTACTGCCTTTGTATGAATAAAGTCGAAAGAACGGCCCCAATCGAACGACCACTGGAATAGGCCTCGATCCGTCGAAGAACAGTTACCCACCTATACGAAGTAGGTCTTCTACGTTTAAGGTCAGTTACAAGCCATTGCTCTCACTTCAAGATCGAGTTCACGGTCGCCACTTGTGTATTTTACCGTACGTGAAAAGTTAGTTAGCTGGTGCAAGCGAAATGCAGTGAAAGATAGTGAAGAAGCGCTCAAAAGTTGGTGATAATGAGTAAAATTTATTTTTGTGCCGCCGTTTGCTTTGTACTTTTGCCGGCAGTTTTACCTGCAAGATATGTGCCGAAATGGAAAAAACAGGTAAATGCAAACAGAAATAGTAAATGGGATAAGCATCTAATTAAGTTAAATTTAATTAATTACTGCGCTAGTAATCCACATCAGTTTTTAATCCATTATTTCAAAAAAGTTTTGCTCAGTTCATTTTTGGACTCAGTATCTGCCTTAACAAACTTTTAATTAATCTAAAAACATCAAACCAGAATGGTCTTAGTGGAACATTAAATTCATCGAGCAATTAGCTATATCCAACTTCCACAACGGATTTCCTCTGCATTGGTACTTGATTATTTATCAATCACCTTTTCTTGTACATTTATGTAATATTAACAAAACTTAAGAACAGGGTTATCGTCGGTTGGGCCTTAAACTAGTTAAAACCTAGCGACCAACCTAAGGAAGATAGTTCCGGCTTAACCTTTACTAAACACCAATTTCTCCCTCTCTCTCTCTTTCCTAATTTTGATGACCAATATACTCCTTTAAAAGATTAATTTTAAAACAAAAGTTAGTTATAATAGTAAAAAAGGATATCATTTAGTCTTTAAACAATTAGGAATAGAGGATTTAAACGAATTAGCTAATTGATAAAATATAATATATAATACGAAGTGCATGATAATATTAATGTCAGAAAGCACCTGGTGGAACCTTTTATTATTTATAGTTTACTTGTCAACATAATAACGCTTAAAATTAAAGTAGAAGCTGAACTTTTATACCATCCAATACCGTAACTATTGTAGGATTTTTTTTAAAGGAGAAACTAATTCAAACTTTCATTTAGGCTTGCGAGGTTCCAACCGCACAAAACGAACATTCCCATTATGTTTGCGATGACGATGGAGAAGTAAAATGTCTCCCAGGATGGACGGGCGATTTATGCGACGTTCCCAAATGTCGTCCAGGATGCGATCCTTTAAACGGTTACTGCAACAGACCAGGAGAATGCCTCTGCAAATTGGGATTTTATGGCGAAAGATGCGACAGGTGTATCCCATTACCAGGATGTCGTCACGGTTACTGCAATGTCAGCTTCGAATGCATTTGCCATAAGGGTTGGGATGGAATATTTTGTTCTGAACGTAAGTATCCACAATAAAAACAAAAACATCCAAGATCATTAAGATAAAAAAAATTTAGGTAATATCGACGAAAAAATGCAATTTAATTTTCACAAATATTTTAATAACTTGCCCGATACGTTTCGCCAAATACTTACTTCATCAGGCGAAATTAGTAACTAGTTAGTATTATTTTTACAAACTTTCTTAAATAAGCAGCTGGTAAACGAGTAGGGGTATGGACAAATTAGGGAGAGGAATTATTACACACTGTTTGGAAATTTAATAGTATAATTTATTAATTTCAAAATTAGCAGCAATGTATACTATTAAATGACCAAAAGGAGTGTAATAATTCCCCTGTCCTAAATTTGTATTAAAAACATATACCACGTCTCGTTTATAGCCTATTTAAAGATTTTTTTAAGTAAAAAATGTTCAATTGTAACTGATACTCTCGGCTATGCCGAAGTCTATGTTTGGCAAGTTAACGAAAAGCTTTTGAAACCCTTTAAAAAAGTATTTTTTGCCAAGTAAAATTCAAGCTTTAATTTTACTGAAATTGAATTCTAAGGAAAAAAGTTGGTTTGATTGATTATATAAAACGCGATCCACCGCTGGTACTAGTTCCTAATTCGATACTTGAATGTTTATTTATTTGGGCACTGGACACCTGTTTAGGGGGCAGTTTTTCTAAGTGAAAGTCGAAAGATACTTTTCTCAATTTTAAGGTACTTATGATGTATGATTCTAAGGTAACTTCATTCCCGTATATTATGTATCACAGTAACAAAGATGATTATTTATTAGTTTGTAAATATAAAGAAATTGTTTTGACCCTATTCAATAGAAAAACCACTACAGGTAAATGAATATATATCTTAGACATCATTCAAGCGCATCGCAAACGCAAGACTTACGGCGAAGTTTTCGTATTAGCAATTTCTATATTCCCGCATACAATTTTCCTTTAAGAATGCATTTTGTATTGAAAATATGAAATGATTTCCCATGCGGAACAGTGACCGTGCAAGTTCGATCTGCTCTTGATTAGATTTTTTTTTAACTATTCATTGTAAAACTGAACATATCCGCATTTAACAAACAATCGGATTGACCTACAGAAAATTCAATTACAGGCAGTATGTATTCTTTATTACAGCAATTTGTCGATCGGACTGCCATCCAAGTCGAGGATACTGCGAATCCCCAGGTGAATGCCGCTGCCGTCTGGGATGGGCAGGACGAAGCTGTACCGAATGTCAAGTTCTTCCCGGCTGTCTCAACGGATACTGCCAGAAACCCTTAGAATGCAAGTGTTATCCGGGTTATACGGGGATTTTGTGTCAAACGCGTAAGTCAAGAAAATCGATTGTTGTCCAATCTAGCGAGACATTGACCACTTTATTTTTTTTTGCAGCGATTTGTTCAGCTACTTGCGATCGACGAAGAGGATACTGTAGAAAACCTGGCGAATGTCGGTAAGTCTATGTTTTGTGATACTCCTAATGTTTGATAGCTTGTAATATCCGTATTTAATTTATGATTTCTCCTTTTAAAAAAATTAAACGAACTTAAATAATTGTACGTTTGAAAATAATAATCACGCATTATAATAATGAAAACAATATCCATAAATAGCGGACAGGATAAGGGTAACACTTTTGAAAAAAAGTGGGCATTGTTTCGTCTATTTTTATTAAACGAAGCAAACTGTTATGAAAATAACATGCATGTGAAAATAATATAATAAGGAAACTGCAATAAGCAAACACAAATATAATATAAAGAAGACTCACCCCCTTATTATCCCAACATACCTTACAAAAACAGCGTACTCGTCCACTTTAATTGTGGGCATTATCAACAAGTGAATGTGGAGATTATTTTAAAAGTCTCAATGTAATTTCTTCACGAGCTGAAGGTTAAAAATTAATCAAAGGAAAATGGCTTTCTGCCAGACTCTTTGGAATTTCTGATAGTTTCCGACGTGTATTAGATTAAAAGTCTTAATTAGCACTTTAGAAAATACCACAAGTGGCGCAGTAAACGCCATCTGTAGCACGATGCTACATTTTAAGATTACGTATGCTCCAACAAGGTCCATTTAAATATATGGATATCTACTTGCTGAACGAATCCCGGCGTAGCCAACCTCAACGTGATAGGCACGTTACCATAATTGAATAAAATAATTCGAAGTGGTCTGTATTCTGCCGAAACTGCCAGACGCGGATCGCAGACCAACTTTTACCTGCTGTCTGTCTGTTCTAAAACGCACTGTTAAGACGCGCTGATGAGATCCAAAAAGATCGAAATCGCGATCCGCGTCTGGCCGTTTCGACAGAATACAGACCACTTCGAATTATTTTATTCAATTTGCACTGTCCTAAAAACTCATCATTTTGAGATATGATCCCTCAAAGTTGCATTTTTCCATAAGGAATTCCAATTATATACCTATTATACGTACTGAATACATTCAACTACATATGCATATGTCGATGTGTTATACCTATGTACATTGCATATTATGGATGTGTCATAGTTTCTGAGCAGGGATGATAATGCAGTCTAGTACACCTCAAAGTCATAGTGCACTTATGGAGAATGTTGGTGAACTCGGAGATGTGATAAGACACCAATACACAATATAAAACTTGTAGTATATGAATCTAAGTTTGGTTACAACTACACTTTTAGTTTTCATGCGTTTAATAAACAATAGATTTTGTGTTGATTACACCCCTGAGCTACGCTATGACGTTGAAGTGTAGTTCACTTTTGCAGAATGCATTACCAATTTTTTCATAAGGATCTAGCAGGATTTTTTGATATTGCTGTATGCTCCGAAGAATATGATTTATCTATTAATAAATGTAAGAGTTACTATTTGAAATTTTTACGGAGGCGTCATTAGATGATTAGTCGAGGAAGAAAGAATTTTCGAATGTTTAGATGTAAATTTTAAAATTGAGTTTCCTGTTTTTTAACGAAACAATTATGTTTTGTATAATATATAAAACAAATTAAAGCTAATTAATGCTGCACAAATTTAGAGGATTATTCTACACTTTAACTTATTGTAGATACCTTCATTATATAATGTTGTTTAGAGTATTTTATTTATAAAACATTAAGTAAGCAAACGAGATATGTATTATTTTTACTAAAGGTAAAAAAATTTGGTGGAGGTGCTGGGACAAATAAATATTTCATATTGTTTACCACAATAAACAATTGCTTCATTCTCAACTGTAATAGCAAAATCTAAACGTAGCATTTTATTACTAATTTAACCATCAGAAACTTGAAGTATTAAATAAAATATTAACATAGATTTTAACTTAAAGGTATAAAGATTAGATATTACCTTATGAAAGTGAAATTACCTTAGGTTGTAGTAAAGCATATTTGGTTGCATATCGGGTGGGTAAATTTTATCTCCTAATGTTATTAAAAATAGTTTTCTTAAAACATATAAGATGAATATAGGTACATGATTTATAGGAAAACATCTCAAGAAGGAATTCTTTTTAAAGAAATTTTTATCAGTTACAAAAACAAAGGTGCTTAAAACTTTCAATTCACTCTTTCTTTGTAGAATTTCTTCATTTTGTTATATTTAAAGCTTCCATTATTAACTAGTCTCCTTTTTAAATCATATGTAGTACGAAATATGTAGCATATTCAAAAATTTTTTACTAATGGATAACTTAGAATAAATAAATTAGATTTTATTTTAGTCAGTCTTAATTAAAGGGATTAAACGGAACATTATTTTAATTATGCTTTCCTGTAACATGAATTTGNGCTATTTTTTTTAATTGTACTTTACTATAGAAATAAACCGTGGAAAATAAACATAAATGTTTCTTCTATACAATTGAGCACTATATTCTCTTTTAGCTTCTTTTGATCTATTTTAATAATGGAGAGTCACATTGTTTTAGTTTGAAGGATACATAAAAGAAATCGTTTGCTTCTTCGTGCAGAACAAATATTTGTCTATAATATGTAGTACGAAATATGTAGCATATTCAAAAATTTTTTACTAATGGATAACTTAGAATAAATAAATTAGATTTTATTTTAGTCAGTCTTAATTAAAGGGATTAAACGGAACATTATTTTAATTATGCTTTCCTGTAACATGAATTTGTCATTAAATTCCTTTAACTTTATTAAAATTTCGAAGGAATAATTAACTATATACCATCTGTATATGGAATGAACTACTTCCCAATCAATTGAATCACTTTGGTATTCCTTTGGTAGTCATTATTATCTAATTCCTGCCCCACGGGTTCTCTATCTCATAAAATGTTTTTGCCATGTGATGTGATGTAACAACACTATTAACCTACAACTGAAATCCAGTGACGTAACTGTAACAGATGGTTATATGCGGCATTTTCTTTAAAAAAAATCTGTTCGGCAAAAGTAAAACAAGTTTCAAGAATTTTTACTAGTTCCTGCAACAAGTCTTGATAATCGCGAAGTTCATTGCCCATCTAGTGGAAAAGAAGAAGAAATGTATGACAAGTTTGCATGTCAGGAAGGCGTTTCTGTGGAAATTACAAATGCTGATAGTCAATTACTTTTAATGTACGATTTATTTAAATTTATTAGTATATTATAATTAAGGATGCTTAATTAAGTTCGAATTTATTTTTTTTTATATATCTCAACATTTTCTGACGGTGCATACATTAAATTGCTTTCCAGTTTGTGTAGAACTGCGTCAACAGTCGTTACAAGGGTAAAAAATGTTGATCTCTTATTAAATCGATATAACGACACTTTTTCTTTATTTTTGTGAACATTCGCTAAGCTTTTGATTATTAATTTATCATGAATAAATAATAATAAATAAATTTATCAAATTATATAAATTGGTAGAGTTTGCCTATTCTATTATCCTGGATGTGGTCTAATGTTCGATTCTTAAAATTTAGTTTTCATTATAAAGAACATAAACCAGCGAAAGTTTTTAGTCAATCTTATTACAATACATAGGTAAACAAAAAATAATGTATATAATTCTAAATAAGCCAATGAATGTTCAAAGCCAAAGAGAACCTACTTTATTTACAACGCTTGAACTTGGACAGTTGAAAATCTGTGAACATTTATTATTGTTTTATTAATCTTACTTCAAATATTACTTCATTTCTCTGAAAGGAATGGCCTATTTGTAGGTCTACCTATCGTGAGTGATTATGAGTTACAGTCACTTTTGTGAAGTAGTTACATAGCCGCGGGGAACAGAACCCACTTTTGAATGCAATTTTCTGAGCCAATTCCTGATTTTTTCACCAGATGAAACTAACCAGTTTGTTAAAGATAACTGTTATTTATTCGATTATTTGAAATTACATACGCATACTTCGAAAGATAATTTTAGTATGATAAACTACATAAAAATAGCGATAAGTAATATGTTGGTAAACGAAATCCGTCTTCCTTAAAACATACCATACGTATAAATAAATATAATATTTCCGCAACATCTTGTTTATTTCCTTTTTTAAGCAGGATGAATAATTTACTTAATCAGCGTGTTTTCAGATCATGCAGTTTACAAGAAATACTTTCTAACTGTTCTTTCCTTCGTAAAACTGGTTTATCTATCGTTAGGCGAAGCATCGAAGTGCACAGCTATTGGTCATTTGTAAAAATCGCAAAATATAGAAGATTTAATTTGATTTCACTTCCTTTTATGTTCGCATTGTCCTTTAAATATCGTCCATTAGATTTTATAAGCGAAAGGAATCCCTCATTTTAGGTGTGTTCTATGTCATGCTCTCGCACGTACATACGTTACGCGTTTTCCGGTTCAACAATTTCTGTATTCGTCTCACCGAACAACTTTCCTTAAAGTTCAATCAGTTCAGTATCATAAAACCATATACCTACCAACATTATCATTTTATGACACGCTTTCCCAAATGCAGATCAAAAGAATTCTACTTTAAATTTTTTCTTAAACGGAAACTGCCTTTTCTATTAATAGTAATTTTCAGTTTTCAAATGTCAAACAATACATCACTGATTTCTTTAAAAATCTTCATCTGTGACTTTAGATTTCTATATACAGTTTTAATTATAAACCACAAAACAATAAGTTACAAGCTATTTCTATTGTAATTACAGTTAATAACAGATTCATTTAATACTAATTTAAAATCCAGGAGAGGGGTCACGGGATCAGCCGAACAATAGTTTAGATATTTAACAACAGATAATGAATTATGTGACAAAGCCAAACTAGCAGATGCTTCAAAGAAAGAATTAAAGATCAAAGAAACAGCTTTGAAAATAAAAACTCTAATTTGACTTACACAAAATTCGAAAATCTCAAAATTAAGAAATTAAATATGTTATTAGATTTACATATATAGCAATGATCAAACAGGCGTAGACCATTATTAATTTTGAATCTGTTATTAAGTTGTAAGTACATTACTTCTTCCATTTGAGGAAACCACAGTAGGTACGGTGAATAGTGGCACAATAAATATTTTTGTTACTTGTTTAGTGTTCTCTTTTCTTCCTTATTATGAAGTTACAGTATTTAAAATTTTAGACAATTAAATTTTTCAATGGGGTTATAAACTTGTAGATATAATTAACAGTAGTTATAATTAAACAAGAGAACGGAAACTCTGTCAATTAGTTCCACAGGAGATTTTACTAAAATATGTAGCATTACAAAGGTTCAATTCTTTTACTAATTTCTTAGAGACTCTATGAAGAACAATAAACAAGAGTCACATTGTTTTAGTTTGAAGGATACATAAAAGAAATCGTTTGCTTCTTCGTGCAGAACAAATATTTGTCTATAACATATGCGAAGTATAACAATGCAAATATGCATCTTCTTGTATTCGTCTTGACCTCTTGACAATCGTATTACAATTGTTGTGGTAATATCGTATAGGTATTGCATATCCAAATACAAATACATATGTAGGTGCAACAGAAATTACTTTTCTTTTATATTAATCTTTTACTTTAAATAAACATAAAGTTTACTAATATTTACCGTATATGAACCAATCTTTATGAAAAGTAGTTAGTATGTATGAAAGAAGAATACTCGGTGTGAAATCAAAGTTAAGAAGGGGTTTATTTTTCAAGAAACAACCGTCAACGTCTCGTCAGGCTAGTTCTTTAACGTTAATAATAAAGTCGTAAAGCAAATTGACATTATAAAAACTGTCTTTGACAAACCTCGACAACAAGGCGAAACGTTGGCGGTTGTTTTTTTTACTATAATCCTTCTTGCATTTGATTTCACATCGAGTATTAAACAGAGGAAAAACTGAGAATAGAATTAAAGTAGACCACCATTTATAAAAAAAAATGTTTATTTACATGATGACTATAAAAAAAATTGTAAAACATATCACAAGTGGTGCAAAATGAAACAAGTATTTCGTACATACTAGTGACTTAATATTTAGACTTATAACTTCCCAACGAGATACTGCTGTAACTTGAACCACCTCCGTATGATTTTCCGAAACCAATTCCGCTACCGTGGCCTCCAGAGTAGCCTCCACCGAATCCTCCGCTATAACCACCTCCGTGACCTCCGCTGTAGCCACCTCCCAATCCTCCGCTGTAGCCACCTCCCAATCCTCCGCTGTAGCCACCTCCAAATCCTCCGCCGTAACCACCTCCAATTCCTCCACTATATGCAATTCCAACGCCTCCTCCAAGACCTCCACCGACTCCTCCACCGAAACCACCACCTCCACCAGATACCACAACTGGTTGAGCTACAGGAACGACAACGGTTTGTGGCACCCTAACTGGAACAGGTTGTGCAATGTGAACGGCGTAAGGTTGGGGAACGGAAACGGGCACTGGTTGTGCAACTGGGACTGGCACCGGTTGTGGCACTGGGACTGGAACTGGTCTATTGACCGTAACGGGAACAGCTCGTGGAACGGCGACAGGCTGAGGTACTGGAACTCGTACTTGTACAGCTCTTGGCACATCAACGGGATAAGGTTGGGGGACTGGATAAGGTACTGGGCGATTTACAGTAACTGGATAAGGTTGTGCAACTGCAACTGGAACAGCTTGGTTTACAGTCGACACAGAGGTACCAGCGTCGGATACTGCTCTACCACCGCCGACTCCACCTGCTCCAATTCCTCCACCTAATCCTCCCCCTAATCCTCCCCCTAATCCTCCTCCTAATCCTCCTCCAAAACCTCCGTCGCCTCCATAGCCGCCGCTACTGTATCCAATTCCTCCACCGATTCCGGCTGAGTATCCACCACCGTATCCGCCTCCAATTCCTCCTCCTAGTCCTCCATGTCCTCCTCCATATCCTCCTCCAATTCCTCCTCCCAGTCCTCCATGTCCTCCTCCATATCCTCCTCCAATTGAGTAGGAGGCTTCCGAAATTCCCCTCTTTTCGGTTTTCTTACCCTTATTTTCACACCAACCTGAACCAACAACTGCTAAAAGCAGCGCGGCAACCTAATAAATAAATTAATTGTAATTTGTCATTCTTACATCTTATCGAGTTTTCCTAAGAACTTACCACAAAAGGTTTCATGTCTGATCTCGAAGAGTAGCGTGTGTGGAATGATGCCTCAGTCTACTCTAGGTGTCTTTTTATACGATTTAAAATGGTGAGGGTTACTCTAATTTACTTTCACTGGGCGGATGCGTCTCTAGGATACACAGACACATTTACACCAAACGAATTAATTCTATTCAGAACCATTGGGTAGTAATTAAAATTATTTATCGTCGAGGTTGTTTCCTTTTTTTCAATTTTCATGAAAATATTACCTTATAAAGTTTACTTATCGTTATTAAATACCAAAGGAAATTGGCCATACATCAGTAGAAATATTTCGGAAAAATTATTTCTTTATTAACGCCCAGTCTGAACATTTAGTCCTACGTGCATGTGTATACGAAAATTGAAGAAAACATTTCCTATAATTGGTAGATATTAAAAGGAATAATGTTTTTTTTTTACTTGGTTCACAAAGAAAAACAAACTGACGCTCTGATTATAATAAAACTCATAAAGTGTTTTTACAATAAATATTATTAAAATACGGTTTCAAAAATAATAGATATGTGAATAGCATGGCTTCATAACTTCAAAAATAAGACGAATTCTACGTTCGCAACTAGTTAGTCTTGTTCATGATAAGAAAAAGAAACTTATATATTAATAGCTTTTACAAGAAAGTATTACTTGTGTGAAAAACAACGATGCACTTTTCGCCTTAATTATATGTATGCAAAATATCACCTCCACTTCAACAAATCAATCGATTTATATTTATCTTAATGAGATGGTAATTAGTTCCATTTGTTTCGGAAGTTATTAACATTGATAAGTAATGAAAATCTTGTTTTCCGTAATATTATTTTAGCGGCATTTAAAGTGGACTGTTCAAGTTTCATGTAGAAACTAATGAATGCAAGAAGCTTTCGAAATGTTTATTAGATAAAATCGTAACCTTCTCCTATCGGACGTCGTACACTATTAAATGCTCATGCTCTTCAGAAAAAAGCAACACACCCGTTACTATAAATCACACTCTATTAAAGGTATGGAGAAATTTGCGATGTTATGGGAATTATTCAGTTGGTTCTTTTATTAATTTAAAAACTGTCAAACTGATTTCTAGAGAATTATACAATCGCAAAGTGAAAAATTTGACCAACGGTATTTTTAAAGTCACCATTTATTTTTTTTTCACTCGACGTCAACGTTAATGCCTCTATTTATTATAAAGGTACTAAAGAATTTTAAGAGAGCTTAAAAAAATACTGGAAAAGACTTTGTATTTGCTTTCGCTTCTAAAACTGAATTGTTTTGTTTATTCTACTCATAATAATTCATAATAATTCATTTCCAAAAGTATGGAAAAAGTAAGTAATGGTTAATAAATAGTTAACGTTGTGTTTGTAGAGAAACAGAATTAGCGATTATTAACGTTAATTGTATATTTATGTTGAAATATTCCCATAATATATGCTGTGGTTTTCAGTATTTCGGACTAACATTAATCAGAATACCTAAATAGGTTCTAGAAAAAAAAATCACGTTTTATTAAGGTTAAAATCTTTATCATCTTACTTCAATAATTACTTCACTTACCTGACTATCATTATGAGGCTTTTTTAATAAAATAAAGTCCCTTTATCTCATCTTTCAATTAATACAAATGACACAAAGGGATCTTCAAAGACGACAAAAAACTAAATTGTATTAAAATAATTGTTTTAGTTGCAGTTTTTAATAATTATTAGGTATTTACCTATCTATATCATACATTGATCTAACAATCCGATAGTTGAATCTTTATCTGTTTTATAAGTACGTATATAGATAATGACTAAGAAGTGCTGAAAATCTGTTATGATGACTGTTTATGAAAGTTGCGAAATAAATCTATATAAAATACATAGAATAGATATTCCTCGGGTAGTAAATTTATATTTTTTTAAGAACTGAAACTTTCACCTACTACATAGTTTGCCATATATTTTATTCAAGTCCAAGCTGAATGGTCATATTGAAATGTCAATACAAAGATATTAATGCGGAAAATACCTCCAAAGGAACCCAAAATGTCATTCATTTGTAAATTATGTGTGTTACACAGCACATTTAGTAAAAATTAACTGTCATGCTCTTCCTTTTTCAGGTTGTTTATGACAATTTAGATATATTAAACACTGTAATAAAAATATTAAGATGTTTCCCATAATTTTAAAATAAGTAGTTAATGAGGAATCAAGGTTCAAGTTCTACTTACAATCAGTCATTAATCAAGTTATACTATTACACAGCGCGTTTTTATTTTCTGAATAAAGGATTTAATAAACAAATAGGAACAATACTGCTAAGACGGGAGCGTTAATCAACCGATAATCGTTAATAAGGAACACGTCCAACACGTGAAAACATTGGTGATTTTTAATTAAAGTTATAGATCATACGACAACAACCTGTACATCGAAAGAAAGCGCGTTAATAAAATTCCATCCTTTAATTAGACATTTTAATAGTTAGGCATTTCTTACGATCAGCGTATCGAATGCTATCGTTAAATAACTAATTGTAAGCAATAAAACTAATGAAATTGTCTAGCATAACGTGTTAATTTTTAGACAAATTATTTTGCTCAGTTAATCAAGAAACTAGTACATAAATCATGTAATATACTACATCCAGGCATCTATATGTAGAATTGAATTGTTGTAGTTTTATTTCCAATTACAAGCACTAAATGTAAATGTAATTGATACGATAAGAAGTGCACGTTTGCTTTTTTATAAAAAAATTTGAGAACAAAAGTCATTGTTGTGTCATGTAAACAAAGTGTCAAATATTGTCTTACTCTTATTGAATATATGGAGGAATCATTATATAATTGAAATAAATATGTAAAGATTATTCGTTGCGTTCTATTAATTAATTCTTTTGCAATTTGTGTCTTTAATATCATGATATGGTTTTGTAATGTTTTATAGATGAACGTTATAATTTACTGTCAGTGTTGCCCTATTATAAATGATCATTTTACATGATATTCAGCATGTCTGTTATAAATTTAGATGTGTTAAAAGTAACACAAGTACACATTTCTTTTATTGGTTTACGCCAGGAGCAAATTTATGCAAATTAGACCATTATATTCTTACACCGATACATATCGCCAAACTCATAACTAGACGCATTGGTTTCAACATCATTCGGCTTCAGCAATATTTGCATTAAAAATCAATTTCTAAATCCCTATATTTCGTATTTGTCATAATTTCCATACTAAAATGAAAGAGACTGTCAATTATTTATTGTATTAGAAATGCCGTACGATGCAGAACTACACTGTGCATATTATACAGATGCAGTCAACTTTATATAAATTTTGAGTTACAAAAAAATCATTTAACCTTTCTAAAACATAATGCATATTAAAATCAAACGCAGAAAGGGATATAAAAAAAGTTAATATCCTTGATCAGCAACTAGCCATCTAGAAATAGAAAACTTTCTTGTTTAGATATTAAAAAAAAAACGAAGATTAAAATATTTTTCAAGCAAAATTAGTATGACATTTAACTTTAGTTATTAATATTATTTTATTAAAATGCAAAACGTATGAAAGCTTTTGAAGTTTACATGAAAAAGAAAAACGGAATTAGTTACATTAACTTAGTCATTGTGCAGTTATAGTTTGTAGGTACATATCATTGCGTAAGAGATAATACCAGAGTATTAAGAAGTGAAGCTTTTGGGTATGAAAATCTAAAAATTTTCTTTTCTGTCTTCTTCATTATTGCAAGATATGATTGTAATTAATGGCATCGAAGTACAAATTAATCGTTTGCAAAGATTAATGAGTCGTGAAGAATATCACTAAATTCACGGATTCTCGATTATTATAATTACGGGTCTTTGGTATACTATACCAGGTGAAACAATTATCCAACAAACAATTTCCCAGCGTGAAAGGCGTGTTCAAAAAGCACTCTTCGTTCACATGGATAAGGAAATGGAGTAAGTAACAGACATCACAAAAGTTTGCGCTTACAACGAAAAAAATGCTATTGGACCACGATTTACATTATTAGAAAGCACAAAACTATATACTTTTGTATGTGTCTTATGTATCTTAAAATGGGTGGCACTGGTACTGCACATGCATAAAAAAAAATGAGTAAATTACTTTCAGTAGAGCGTAACAAGTACTACATAATGATAGACAGTTATTTTAAATGTTAACTGAATTACAAAGCCGTATATGGATTTTAAATAACATACAATTAAAGAGCTAATCGTATATAAGTAAAAAGTTGATAGCAATGTATGTACTTGAATAAAATTTTATAGATATCATCTGCCATAAAATTGGATTGCACAAAAGTATTAAAAAAATACTTTTGATTCAACTCTAATTATTCTTAAATTAGGTATTGATCGTAAAATAAACAAAATTTTTCAGAACTTAAATAACCTGATGATAGTTTCATTTTCTCAAGAATTTGTTGAAAAACCCTATTTTCCCATTTTCATAAACCTTTATTATAATAAGTCAGTCTCAATTAACAATCAAATGCTAACTGTAATTTTAAATCAAAATTAAACTGATATAAACAAGTAAATCTGTAAACACTACATTTAAGAAATCTTATTTTTTTTAAGCAATCAGCCCAGATGAGAAGATTTAATCTGATTTTCTAATATCATTTACATATTATAGTAGCATAAAAACGTAAAAAGAATAATTTGCTCAAAATATTTAGATTGAACATTTAGGTATTATTTTGATGATAGTCTAACAGTCAAAAGAATTTTATCGATAAATTCGAATATCGATTGTGTATTGATTTTTTTATTCATAAATAATAACGTAATTAGTGAAAATTTTGACGAATGTAAACAATATTGCCTGCAAACAAAACTTGTTAGAAGATAAAATTTAAGACAGTTTTTTTCTAATATTATTGTATTATTTTTTCAAAATATCACCGGCAATTTCAGTTCTTGATTACAACAATTCGAGTAAAGTTATCTAGCACACCTATGGTTATTATCGTTTTTTAACGACTCAAACTAACTGAAAATACTGGAGCAAGGGCAAAAGTGAAAGAATAATTAACCATCAATTTGCCTTCTGAAGGAGAACTGAAAATATAGGTTTCTTATTTCGTTAATTTTTAGCACAATTAGTTCTGATGCTAAATTATCTTGTATTTGTGTTCAGATGCAAGGTGGGATGGTGGGGTAAAAATTGCAACAAATGCTACCCGTACCCCGGTTGTGTCAATGGGGACTGCAACAGACCGTGGGAATGCAACTGTAGACTTGGATGGGGAGGGCTACTGTGCGACGAACGTAAGTATTGATTCAATTCATTTCAAATTAAAAAGGGAATATCGATTTATAAAAACGTAGGTCTCAAAAATTTTGTTTACTTATTACATTTAAAATTCTAAATCTCATTGTGTGAAATGTCCCAATAGTTTATGAGATTTCACTAAATAAAATGAAACAACGAAATAAAATAATAATAATATAGTCTTTGGGGTTCATTGCTTGTATTAAGAAAGATCATTATCTTATATAAGAAAAAAATAACTAATTAATTTTCTTTTCTTAATTTCAAACTTCTTAAAGTAAAAGAAATCAGAGAATTGTCACGTTTTTCAAAAAAAAAAAAAAAACTGTTAGCAAATACGATAACAAACAACATTTAGGGAGTTACGAAAATAATTTTTTTAAAAACCTTATTCTTTAAGAAATGCAAAATACCTTTTGAAACTGAATAAACATTTCTTTTATAATTCTTCATATTTCCTGATGCATATTCAGTTTGATTCCGTCCAAGTGAACAAATTTGAAGAACACCTTTTCAGTAAATAGTACGTTTCTATAAAGACTAAAATAAGCATACCAAAATGTTACTTTCATTTTGCAAAAAGAAATAAAAGAAGAACGGTAACTCATAGATACTTTGTCTAGATATTAAGCTTTGTCTAATTTCAGCTTTAGACTTTTGTGACAAGAACCCGAGCATATGTCAAAACGACGCCAAATGTATTTCGTTAACCAAAGAAGATGGAAGCTACAAATGCTTGTGTAGAGAAGGAACAAGGGGCAGAAATTGCGAGATCATCATGAACCCATCTATGATGTATCCTACAACTACTTTGTCAACAACTAAATCAACCCCTATATCTAATGTCACATTAACTTCTTCTACCATGTCAACATCCTTAACCACAGACTCGGAAATTAATGAATTTGGCAATAACCAAACAGACTTAGAAGATCAAAGTTTGATTAACCATGATATTGATAACGAAACTCGTTGATAAAAAAAATTTGTCCTGCTAGTCTTCTAGGTACCTACTAATAGTAAAGCAATAAGTAACATACAACCTAAGTATCCACTATTTATTATTAAACTAATTTATTGTTTATTTATTTATGCTATTTTTTTTAATTGTACTTTACTATAGAAATAAACCGTGGAAAATAAACATAAATGTTTCTTCTATACAATTGAGCACTATATTCTCTTTTAGCTTCTTTTGATCTATTTTAATAATGGAATACAAGTTTGAAGGCAGATGGACAGGGTTGCTACATACGTTAATAATATTTTCCCATAAGAAGTATCATGAAGTACAATACTCTGAGCTAATACGAAGTTTTGTACTTGAAACTAAATGGGGGAAAACTTTTTTTATATTCTATTTTCAGTTCAATAACTGATCAGGTAACTGGTTTCTGGAATAGTTTTTATATAGCTAAAATCTTCTGAAAACTTTGTAGAATTGTTAATAGAAAATTGAGAGATGAAGTCCAAATTCTCTAGAAATTGAAATGCATACCATTTGTTTGATGGGTTATTAAAAAGTCCTGTAGTAAATTATTATAAATTAATTCACTAGAATACGCACAGTTTCTTGTCTAATGGATCTGATAATAAAACAATTGTCCTATGAACACAAAAAAGCTCAAATATCAACGCTGAAACACGACACTGAACGTTCGAAGTACTTATCGGTAAAAAATTAACTTCTTATTTTAGGGACCAAAACTTTGCTACCAAAAAGTACTTCGGACGTTCAGTGTCGTGTTTTAACGTTGGAGTTTGAGCTTTTTATTGTTCACGCCGCCAAAGATTCTCCTCTAGAAATTCCTTATGATACCTTTTGTCCTTTACATTTCGTGTTTGCTATAATGGTTAACTAAGTTTAATGTAATTTTGAGAACCGTTTAAGGCATGTCAGAGACATACTAGGAGCAGAAACAGGAGTAAAGGAGACCAAAGGAAGACCTATATGAGATTAATATTCGGAAATATCTAGTTAAAGATGTCTAATTTTCAAAAATGTGAAGATAGGCAAAGAATACCTCAGCTTAGGAAGAGGAAATGCATTTGTCCAACCAATCTTTGGTCAAACGACAGTATATTAGCAACATAATTTATTTGTTTGTGAATTCATGAAATCAGTTGTCAGTTAATAAGTCAATATTCAAACGTATAACTTACAAAATACTTTTAAAATCAGCGCCGAAGTGTAACAAAATAGAGAATAGGAGATTGAAGTTTATTAATGTTAGTATATATCAAAGCTCATATGAATGTAATAATATCTAACATCAAAAAGTTTCTATTATTTCCTTCCAAAATAATAAAGCTCGGTCTTTATAGTTTATGGCAAATTACCTTCTATCCTGAGCGCAATCCTCTACTCCTCACTCCTGCCAGTAAGTCATCCTGCGAAGCAATCTTTTCTTGATTTGAACCTGCAACAATTTGATACAATTAAAGGAGTAAAAGAATTTCATAACATTTTTACGAGTCCAGAGATATATCACGTATGAGATACTTCAGTCTTTATTTAGAACATCTAGCTCACAGAAATGAAATCTTGCAAAACATATTTCAACATGACCAAATTTAAAAATAATTGGGCATTCTAATATCAGCTGCTACAAGAATTTTTAAAAATTACATTTTTTATTTTCCTCAAATAATTTTGGTTGATTAGGCCTACCACCATGATCCAGTGTATTGAGGACTACAGCAATCTATTGAAACCGTAATAGTCTGCTTTAAAGCTTCATACAAAGTTTCTCAGCAATTTTTACAGTGTATAGCACACTTATTTATAAAAAAAACGAAGAAAATCTATTAACTCTTGATGAATCATGTTTATTAACTTATGATGAAAATTAAGATGAGGAAAAACTCTACGACTGAATTACCATTAAATGAAAGGAAAAGCTCCGACAGTTTTCAAATTTGTGGATGCTTCCCCAAGCATCTTTCAAAATTCAGTTATCACATTCCAATTTAGAAGAATCCGTCAAGAAACTCCAAAAACCATTTCTGTCTTTAGTTCTGGGGCATGCTTGGTCGACAATTTTTATCCGCAAATACGTTGAAAGGTTTGCGACTTTTCAAGTTCAAGTGTTTAATTAAATCTGAATTGTTTTAACAACTAATATAACAAATATTTAGTGCACCTTGCGGTAGATAATTCTGCTTGTTATCGCTATTAATTACTACAATGTAATACAGTTTAGTGATTCTCCAACATTTTGGATAGATGGGCATCTTCAATTCTTAATGCATTTTTTCAAAAAAGATAAGTATAGCTTTGAATGCACATTGTAAGGATACAAAAACTGTGAAGGATAAATGTTTCTTCAAACACAAAAGAAAATTTTAACACTTATAACTCCATATGTTCATTCATCGAAATATTTAAGAGTTTGCATTTGAATTCAATTACAAAAGGTTAAACAATTGGAGTGATATTTTTAACAGACTCTTTATGCATTATGCAGTGGGAACAAGACTATTGCTGTGATGTTTGGGTCTTCCTTGTTCTCCAAATAAAGCATTCCTTTAAATGTAGAATTCTCTTCTGCATCAGTTTTGTGAAAACTTTAACTTCAGTCCTCATCCAGCATATTTTTTACCATTTTATAATTTTCATATTATATATTTTACTAAAGTTACCATTAACTCATTGCTTCCAAAAGTGGACATATAGGTACTACTTAAAAAAAACGGTTGAAATGACTTTTACAAAATGAATATGTAAATAAGTCTTTTTCTATGCATTATACCTAGATGATATGTAGTTTCCAAACATTATTTTAAAATTTTTGCGTGATCCATCAATACCGCATAGTGTGAGTGGAATGGATAGAAGCATTAATTTATTCAGTCAAAAATACATAAAATGTTACCACATTTCCCGACTTAACCTTCTAAAAATAATTTTTTGTTCGTTGTTTTAGCTAATACTTACAATAAAGTTTCAGTATTCTCTTTAGTTTCAATTTTTGTTATTTATGCTTTGTATTGACCATTTTTTTGGTAAAGTTACTAATGATTTAAGTATTAAATAAAAAATAGCTCGAATTAAGATATACAAAATATTATCACCTATTTACGTTATGAGTGAGCGCTTCGCCTGTTTTTTATCGGTTCTTTAAAGCGTTTTAATCATGAGTTTTATACAGCAGCTTAAAGAACTCAGTCTACTTTCGTAAATCTGTCATTAATCAAATTAAAATTACCTGTTCCGGTAGATAGTATTTCACCCATCTGATTATGTTTGCGTAATAATTCGCATTACTGTCGTAAGTCCAAGTTGTCTTCTATTTCCGAAGACCTGTCTAATTTTTCAATGTCCAATCGGATACGCTCCGATTTAATTTATGGGCTTTGTGTATAAACATTCACATTGCAAATATTTTATTGAAGAGCAGCATAGCAATGCTAGACCGTGACCAAATGAATAGGTCAATATTACACAATATCGTCACGGTAAGTTCAACCGGAATCGTAATACATGTAGGTATCTGCAACGCTAAGTCATATAAACAACGACAGAATAAAATAATGCATTTAATATGCCTATAATTAGTGAGCGTAAAAATAAGGACAAGCTGGATTTTCCAGGATAATCTCCAATCTATGTCTATGGATGCACAACGGATATCAGTGACATCTTGAGAATTCCTTTATAGGGAATTAAATTCAAGCTGTCGAAATTTAAACAACCCAGGCACAAAACAAAAGTACAATGTAATTAACCGAAAGATAAACACAATTACTTATCATCAATTTGTTGTAAGTTCAAGTGTCTTTTTATCGAAATGTTAGCATTACTATTGAAAAATCGCTTAATCTGTATTAACGATAGAATAAATACATATTTTTGATGAAATTTTAATTTTAGTAACTGGATTCGTTAATTAAAGGTTATATTAACTTTTGCAAGTCCGATGCTACGCAGAAATTCAGATACAAATTAAACGGCGGAGATCGGGAATCGGATCCAACTACATTAAAATATTGGAAATCATCAAATGTTTAGCCAACGTTTACTGACGTCTTTATTCCTATAAATGGTTCATTCCTTCTCTTCCTTCTCTTCCTTCTCTTCCTTCTCTTCCTTCTCTTCCTTCTCTTCCTTCTCTTCCTTCTCTTCCTTCTCTTCCTTCTCTTCCTTCTCCTCCTTCTCCTCCTTCTCCTTCTTCTCCTTCTTCTCCTCCTTCTCCTCCTTCCCCTCATTCTCCTCCTTCTCTTCCTTCTCCTCCTTCTTCTCCTTCTTCTCCTTCTTCTCCTTCTTCTCCTTCTCCTCGTTCTCCCCCTTATCCTCCTCCTTCTTTTAATTATTCTGCTCTTTCTCCTCCTGCTCATTCTCTTTCTTTTTCGTAAGACATACCCTTATTTCTAACTCATTTTTAAGGTTTCAGGCTGCGCTACTGAAGTCCATCAGCTCTCATACCACTTTGTGTGGTCTGCCAGGAGGATTTTTTGTGTTGGGTTTTTATCTTTGTCCTATTTTACTCATCTGTTCTCTTCTACTCTATCTATATAATCTCTCCAGAACCGCCATCTTACTCTTCCGAATCCTAGCACATGCTGCATTTGAAACTCCTCTGACTGTATTCTTTTAATTTATTTAACGCAAAGTGTAATAGACCACTTTACGTTAGTCATGCAATACATTACAACATTCTTTAATCAGTTTTTCTTTTAGTTTTGGTGTTACAAACAGGGTGGCGACCGAGCGGCATGGCCTTGAGGTTTAGACCATTGCTTAGCATTCGGGAGGACGCCGCTTCGATTCCGGGTCCGTCTGCCTTGGTCCAAGTTTTTCTGTGGTTTCCTTGGATCACCTAGGCAAATGCTGAGGCAGTAATATTCCACAGATAATCTTTCACTCTCTTCTGTCTTCATTTCGTCCGTCTCATCTTTCTCACCCGAACCACCACCCACCCATTCCCGCGATTCCTGAAAGCAGGCTGAACAGGGCCTTCCGCCCTACCTTCCGGCGTAGTCCGGAGGGACTGCCCGCCCACCAGCATTACTTGCTAGTGGGAATGAAACACCCAAAAGTTTTTAGTTTTTTGGTGACGATATTTAGCGTTAAGCAGAAGCAAGAAGGTGGAAGATCTCAAGAGCTCTTCCCCATTGATATATTGCATATCCAGTA